CCCTGAATTGAACCAGACCTCTTGGTGCTTGTGGCTCAATCCACCAGCTGGGCCTGGTAGCTTCAATTTAATGACCAATTCATGGCTCTCAACCTCCATGCCTAGGAAATTCGTTTTTTCCCCAGTATCTCACAACATTGCATCACAATTAATCTAGGTGCTCAAGCCAAAATCTTAGGACTCGCCTTTCATCTTTCCTTAAAACCCAGATACTCTATCACAGGTACTGTTCATACTGTGTCCAAAATATATCTCAGTTCTTCCACTCTGCTTCATCCCACTACCATCATGTACTTGCTACTATAATAACCTTCTACCTAATTTCCTACCTCCCAACTTCCCTTCCAGTTCATCCAGTTTTAAAAAAATGTAAATTGAGCCGAAACCGGTTTGGCTCAGTGGATAGAGCATCAGCCTGCGGACTGAAAGGTCCCAGGTTTGATTCCGGTCAAGGGCATGTACCTTGGTTGTGGGCACATCCCCAGTAGGGCATGTGCAGGAGGCAGCTGATCCATGATTCTCTCTCATGGATGTTTCTAACTCTATCCTTCTCTCTTTCTCTCTGTAAAAAATCAATAAAATATATTTTAAAAAAATAAATAAATAAATAAATAAAAAATAAAAAAATAAAAAATAAAAAATAAAAAATAAAAAAATGTAAATTGAGCCACATTACTCCCTTACTTAAAATCCTCTGATGGCTTTCAATAGCCCCTGGAATAGTGCCCAAACTCTTCCTCTTATCTTACAAGAACCAGTATGATCTGGCTCCTGATTTTCTTTCCAAACCCACATTGCTCTTGCTGTATGCCAGGCGCACCGGCCTCTGCCTGGTTCTGAACGCATTCCCACCTCCAGGCCTCTGCCTGTGCCTCTGCCCCTAACAGTCTTTCCCCCAAGCTTCACCGCTGGTTCATTTTCACTCGTTAGGTCTCAGCTCCAAAGACACATCCCAGAGTGGTTCTCCCTGGCTGCCCTGGTTAGAGTTGCCCTCCCTTATTTCCACATGTTTACCTTCTTCAAAGCGCCTCTCACACTGTGTAAACATGGGGTTCACATCTTTAGTTTCTCTCTCTCTCAACCTAACAGCAGGCTTCCTGTGAGCACAGCTGTCTGACCTTCACCGCTACAGCGCTGGCCCTGGGCCCACTTAGCTCATTCACTCCCTCAGGAAGGAATGACAAACTCATAGCACCCTCATCTTCCAAGGACAACTCAGCTGTGCCACCCAGTCTGCAGGCCTCACCTGACCATGCTAAGCAGAGACAGGAACTCCCATGCCAGCTGCCACAGTGCCCCATGCACACCCTCATTTTTCCAGGAAGACATAATTTTGTAACCCTCAGAGGCCCCCATGGGACTGTGAGTTCCAAGAAGAGATAGATTTCGTTTTCTATCCCAGGGATGGCAGGAGATGCTGTACAAATATTTGAACAAAGTCTGATGCTTACTAACAGCTCAGAATCGCTTCAGGCAGGGTAAATACATTATGAAGCCACAAAGTGGGATAAGGAGGGCCTAGATTACACGGGAGGGTGGGAACAGAGCTCTCTGGAGATGTCACTGGAGCTGAGAAATAACTATGAAAGTGTCAGCCCTGGGAAGACCTAGGGCGGAGTGGTGGAGGCACAGGGGAGGACTAGGACAAAGGCCTTGGGTTAGGAGCAAGCCTGGCACGTGCCCAGTGTAGACAGCGGAGTCGTGTGGCAAGAACATCCTCAGGCAGAGCCGAGCGCAGGCTGGGTCTGTGAGCAGGGACCCAGCAGGCCACGAGGAGGAGTCTGCCTTCTGGTCTGTGCAACGAGAAGCCACTGCCGGCTCTCCTGCTATAGAAAGGTCACCCTGACCACGGTGTAGAGAACTGACTGTGCTCAGAGCGACCACAGTGTAGAGGGACAGGCAGGAGTAGAAAAAGGAGGTGCCCAGCAAGATATTATGTGGCTAGTCACAGAAGGGTTGCAAACAAACAGAGATCTGAAATATGCCTTAAAGCTGTGATTTTCGGCCAGGCTGGAGTGGCTCAGTGTGTCGACCTATGAATTCAGGAGGTCACAGTTCGATTCCCGGTCAGGGCACATGCTGGGATTGAAGACTTAATCCCCAGTGTGGGGCGTGCAGGTGGCAGCTGATCAATGAGTCTCTCTCATCGGTGAGGTTTCTCTCTTTATCCCTCTGTGAAATCAATCAATAAACATATATATATATATTTTTTTTTTTAAAGAGCAGTGATTTTTCAATCCTTCTCATCTCATGGCACACATAAACAAATTACTAAAATTCTGCCACACACCAAAAAAATATAGTTTTTGCGGATATGACAAAACAATTGATATAATTTTGATACATTCACACCAGACAGCTATTGTTGTGTCAGCTGTTATCATTTTTTTGACAACCTAAGGGAAAAGAGGTCAGTACCCCTGATTAAATAGTCATGTATTGCATGTTTTAAAATTCTTGCAGCACACATGTTGAAAATTGCTGTTTTAGAATTAGAAGCAGCCAGTAGGTACTATTATTCTTATTTTACAGGTAAGGAGACTGAAAGTATAGGCAGGCCAAGTCCATTCACAGAATGAGACAGAATATTGAAATTCCTGTTAAAGCAAACATATCGCCATAGTTAGTAAGTGACCACTTAATTCAAGTAACCAAAAAGGCCATGCCTTCTTTACTGTGCCTCGTGTGTGTGTGTGTGTGTGTGTGTGTGTGTGTGTGTGTGTTTAATACAAATCGTAGGCAAGACCCTCCATCAGCAAAAAAATTACAACTCACTCTGGTGGTCTGAAACCAAACCTGCAATATCTCCGAGGTTTGTCTCTACAACTAATTCCTCAAGTTCAATAAAATGAACACAGTAAGTCACATCCTATACAACCTACGGCTTCATTTTTCTCATCACCAACATTTGTGTTTATCTGTAAACTCTTTAACTATAAGAAGGTCTGCTCTTGCCTTTTTTTTTTTTTTTTTTTTTTTCTTTTCTTCATAGAGTACCTACCTAATTCACCTGCTCAACACTGGTTGAAACCTAGGTTAACCTAATTACATGTTTTGTGATTTCCCAAGTCATTCCATGAAACTAGCAAATACATTGATTAAAAACTCATCTTTCCACCTGGTTTGGCTCAGTGGATGGAGTGTTGGCCTGAGGACTGAAGGGTCCCAGGTTCGATTCCCATTAAGGCCATGCCCCTGGATTGTGGACACATCCCCAGTGAGAGCTGTGCAGGAAGCAGCTGATCAATGTTGTTTCTCTCTTATTTATGTTTCTGACTCTCTGTCCTTATCCCTTCCTCTCTGTGGAAAGTCAATATATTTAAAAAACACACTAATCTTTCCAAAAAGAAACAAAAGAAGAAAGCAGAAAAACTCATCTTTCCTGGAGGCCTCCTCCTCCTGATTTTTCAGTTAGCCCAGTCACCTGGGATTAATTTTAGATTCTTCCTCTTCCCCTGGCTCCGCGCCCTCACTCCCTATTTGTCAGGTTCCAAATGGATTTTTTCACAGTCCCTTGCACAATGCTCACCTATTGCCAGCACACCCGTCCCAGTTACTTGACACCTGAAACAGTCGTTTTTCTCCCCAACTCAATCTCCCCCTGACCTCTGATTGTGACAAAAAAAAAACAAACAAAACATAAATATCAACGGTCAAATCCAAACTTTCCCAACACACCTGGATTTCAAAGTATTATCCCCCCAACCCAGGGGAAAACTTCCGCTTCACCACCCACACCCCCTGCGGCTCTCCACCGGCTCAGGCTCTCCCCCTGCCCTGGGCTCGCCAGCCTCTGACCCTGCAGGGCGCTCCCTCGCTGAGACACACGGGGAAAGGGATGCTTTCTTTCCTTCCTTCCTTTTCTTTTTCTTTTTTTAATATATTTTATTGATTTTTTTACAGAGAGGATTAGAGAGCTAAAAACATCCATGAGAGAGAATCATCGATCAGCTGCCTCTTGCACACCCACCATTGGGGATGTGCCCACAACCAAGGTACATGCCCTTGACCGGAATCGAACCCGGGACCTTTCAGTTCGCAGGACGACGCTCTACCCACTGAGCCAAACTGGTTTCGGTGGGATGCTTTCTTTAAGGGCTGTCGCTCCTGTGTTTCCTGAACAGCCCGAGGAGAGACGTGTGTCCGGACCCCGTCAGTGCAGAAGCTTGATGGTCCAGCATAGCCCGCCCTCCCCATCCAGGGGTTCGGCATCGGCATCGAGGGATGCAGCCAGCCGCAAAGCCAAGGCACTTGGCAAACTGTCACACTGCTGCTGACGGGCTCTGCTGAGCTATCAATGGTTGGCGGCTGCCTCTACACTAAACATGTGCAGGCCTCTTCCCCCTAAGCAACCCAGTAATAACAACCGCGGACACGGCGCTGGGGATGGTAAGTAGGCTGGGGATGACCAAGCACGTGGGGAGGGCTGCCCTATTTGGGAATGCTAAGCCGTTTTCTACAAGGGGCTGAGCCGGGGGTCCGGGAACCAACTCCCGAGCCGATCGATCGATCGATCGAGGGCACCTGGGTGGCTCAGTCCGCGAACTAGGAGCGCCAGCTGGTTCCCTGGAAAGGCGGGATCCCTGCATTTACCGGAGCAGGTGCACCTCTGCATTATCACCTCGCCCCTCGCACCTTGTGAGCCCAGTGATCGCCTACTGCAGGGAAATAAGGCCTCTTGACAATAACACAGGCTTTTTCTTTTCTTTTCTTTTTTTTAAGCTGGGAAATCGTTTTATGGGCCTTGGATACTGTCAGGCAAGGCCGGGCCAAGCCCATAGGTGCGCCTGCCAAGCTCCGCGGCCCCTTCCACACCCCGTTGAGCAATCCTCACGGAGAAACCGGGAGCGGAAACGCGCCGATCTGGGCCAGAACCGGGCCGCGCGCGCCGCCGGCACCGGGGCTTCCGGACCAGGCGGGGCCCCGGGCCCCGGGCCGCCAGGCCCCGCTCCGTCCCCCGGGGCCGCGGGCTGCACCCGCCGGGGCCCGGCCGCTCTCACCTGCACCTGCCTCCGCAGCAGGGGGCCGCGGGCGCCGCCGCGCAGAAGGGCCGCCAGCGCCGCCATGGTCGCCGAGCGGAGCGAGCGGAGCGGAGCGGAGACGTCAAGGGCACGGACGGGAGGGCCGCCGGCGCCCCGCCGCCTCCCGCCGCACGCCCGGCGCCGGGACCGGCCCTCCACCAATGGCAGCCTCCGCCCGCGGGGCCCGCGGCGATTGGCCGGCAGCCAGATGGGGGCGGGGCCGCCTGGCCCCCAGGTCCTTAGCCCCGCCCACCGCCCTGGCTGGCAAGAATCTGCAAGCTCCAAGGAGCTGGCGGTGCCAGCTGGGAACCCAGGCGCACACTCACCACGCTGTTAGGTTCTAATACACAACTTAAAAAAAAACAAACCACATTTTATTTGTTTCAGAGAGAGTGGAAGGGAAAGAGAGAGAGAGAGAAACATCGCTTTATTGTTGTACTTATTGATGCATGCATTGGTTTCTGGTAGGTGCCCTGGCCCAGAATGGAACCTGCAGCCTTGGCCTATCTAATCCTGACCACACTCAGTCCAACTGAACTAAGCGGCCAGGGACGGGATATCTCACTTTGACCTTCCAGAGTCACTGGTGTTAAGTGTAACTGGGCCTTCTCCTTTCACTTGAGCCCGTTCTCTCACTTATACCTGCAAAGTACAAGGGAAAGTCATGGAAAGCATTCTTAGGCAACCCAATTAGCTTTTAGTTTGTGATGAGGTAATTTTGCAATTGGTTTTCAGCAGAAGGAGGAAAACGAGAAATAGAAAACATATCAGCAGCTAATTCTACTGAACAATGAATGATTAATATTCACAAAAACTCCAGCCAGATATATGGATGAAAGGCCCTCAGATGCTTCCAGTTCCTCACCTTCCACCTAACTGTGCCCCAGATACTGGGGAGCAGAGACACGCTAACCCTCTGTTATCAGAAAAGCAACCTGGCCCAGAATAGGTTTGCCTAAGGCTGGCCAGCAGTACGGGCGTTCTTGGCTTCGTGCAGAAAAGATTTCACAAGAGTCCAGGTGGTTTTGAGGGGACGTTTACTAAAGCCGGGGACAGTGAGACAAAGGAAGGGCTTCGGGTGGAAGAAGCAGCAGGAGGGGAGGCGGGTTGGCTCTCTGGAAATGTTATAGGAAAGAAGTGAGTCACACGGGGCTGCATGAGTTCACTGAGAAGGACAAGTCACAGTGACCGAAGGGAGCCGAAGTGGAGCTGTTGGTAGCTGGAAAGTCAGAGAAAAGGGAGCCTTGGAGACAGGTTCCGGGGGTTAGCCCACGGTGAACTGCCCCTGCCCACTGCTCCCCTGGGTGCAAGTTCCTTGGGGATTCTTATTGTTGAGGAGAAGGGCAGTAGAAAGTGAATGCCTGAGAAAAGGCACGGGCATGCTCGAGAGAGAACCCAAGCTGGGTCCTGTGTCTCGAGGCTTTACTCTCTCTTCTGCAAGCAGAAATCCAAGTTAGGTCGCAGGGGAGGGCTGTAACAGAATATTCATTAGTTTTCCAGGTGTGTCCTTTGATTGATTCATTCATCAAAATGAGTAGAAGGTTCAGGGTCTTCTTCAGTCACTTTTCTCGTTTAGAAAATATTTTTATTGATCTCAGAAAGGAAGGGAGAGGGAGAAACATCAATGATGAGAGAGAATTTTGATCGGCCGCCTCCTGTACTCCTACTGAGGATTGAGCCTGCAACCCAGGCATGTGCCCTTGACTGGAATCAAACCTGGGACCCTTCAGTCCTGAAGGCCGATGCTCTATCCACTGAGCCAAACCAGCTAGGGCCAGTTTTATCCTTAAAGGATGTCATTGAAGCCCTGGCCAGTGGTTCATTTGGTTGGAGCGTCACCCCATATACCATAAGGTTGCAGGTTCGATTTCTGGTCAGGGCACCTGCAGGAGGCCACCAACCAATGCTTCTCTCCTTCCCTCCCTCCCTCTCTCTCTAAAATCAATTTTTTAAAAAAAGGGATATATCCTCAGGTGAGAGTTAAACTAATGATAATCATTAGTAGCAATAATATAATAATAAAGAATGCCATTGAAGCTAAAACCGGTTTGGCTCAGTGGATAGAGTGTCGGCCTGTGGACTGAAAGGTCCCGGGTTCGATTTCGGTCAAGGGCATGTACCTTGGTTGCGGGCACATCCCTGGTGGGGGGCTGTGCAGGAGGCAGCTGATCGATGTTTCTCTCTCATTGATGTTTCTAACTCTCTATCTCTCTCTCTTCCTCTCTGTAAAAAATCAATAAAATATATTAAGGAAAAAGAAGAAGAAGAAGAAAAAAAAAAGAATGCCATTGAAGAGGCCAGGACTGAGGCAGATGTGCCCGGCACGGTCTGGAATATATAAATCATTTGCTTCTCTGCCCTCGGTTAGGGAAGACATGGTCCGGAATGTGTAAACCATTTACTCCTAAGTGTCCTTGGTTCAGGAAGGCAAGACCTGGTGATTCCCTAGCTGGCTGTAAACTCCTCAATTTGTTTGGCCTTAATTATTGTGTCAGTTTCCCTCATTCCACTTGCCAAGGGACTTTTCTAGCTTCTTACTATCCTGCCTCACAAGGTCTATGCTGGAGACATTAAGACTGACCCCCAGTAGATTTATGGCTTAGAACCTGCAGAGACCAGCTTGATCCAACATGGCAACTAGTTTCACTTTGGGTAACCCCTAGCCCATTATTCACTCATTGTAACAGAGTAGCCCACCAAACCGCACACCCTGCACCGCCATGATCAGATATGGAAGCATGTATAAGGAAAGCACATGGGGGAGGGGGAACATATGTAATACTTTCAACAGTAAAGAATTATCTTTTTTTTTTCTCTTTATTTTTTTTATTTATTTATTTTTAAATCAATCTTTATTGTTCATATTATTACAAAGGTTCCTCATTTCTTCCCCCCTCCACCAGGTTCCCATCCCCCAATGTCCTCATCCATAGGTGCACAGTTTATGTTCAGTCTCTTCTTCCCTCCCTTTCCCCGATAGTAAATCCCTTTTTCAGATAGTAAATCAGTTACTTAGCATTTTCTCATATCAATAATACCTCCACATGCCCAATGATACACTTCACACAAAAGACATTTCCCAATAGGTCAACTAGCCTCATCCAGGCCCCACCCAAGGCACTCACAGATCAACACCCCAACCCTATACTAACTCAACACATCCAGATCTAAGCCTTCATCACTTGATTCAGCAGACCCTCAAGTTCCCACGAAAGTTTCCAGCCATGTCTGAGAGGCAGCCGTGGGGCAGGGGCAGGCGAGGAGCGAGCTGTTCCGGGCCTGGCTGCTCAGGGCCTGGCCTCTGTAAGAATTATCTTTTAAAATGAAATTAAATATCAATACCCCCCCCCCCCAAAAAAAAAGAATACTACATAGCTGATGGAGCTTTTTAAAGAAGTCTCCAACCATTTCCCAGAAAGATTCTGAATATTCCTATTCCACTCATTGGACGCCCTTTCCCCAATTAGATGAGCCTCAATAAAAGAAGTCTCTCAGCACAGCTGATTGAGCGTCGACTTGTGAACCAGGAGCCCACGGTTCGATTCCTGGTCAAGGCTCCATCCCCTGTGTGTGACATGCGGAAGGCAGCCGATCAATGACCCTCCTATCATCACTGATGTTTCTATTTTTTCTCTCCCTCCCCCTTTCTCTCTGAAATCAATAAAAAAAAAACAACATATATATATATATATATATATATATATATATATATATATATATGGATTATATCCCTTTGGCGAGGGGCTGCTCTGCCTGTGGAGTAGACACACTCTGTCTCACTGCTTCACTAATAAACTCACGGTTACTTTAAATTCCGCGATGGCTCTAGTTTGAATTCTTTCCTGAGGGAAGCCAGGGACCCACGGTGGGTCACGGGCCCCTGGGTCCCAGGACCCCTGGAGCACCTGCTCCATCTCTGTATTCAGTGGGTCAGCGTGTCCTGCCTTTCCCCTGGGAAAGTCCTGCTCTTGCCTTCTCTCTGGCTGGCCCTACTCCAGGCCAAGCACAAACATTTTCATACCTATCGCTTCAACAGCTATTGTAAGGAAATCACCACCATGTGTGTCAGTGCTCACGGTGCATGCGTGCGTGTGCGTGTGTGTGTGAGTGTGTGTGTGTGTGTGTGTGTGTGTGTGTGTGTGTGTGTGGTGTTCAAAATAACACAATTAAACATTTGGTCTGACAAATACATGATGGGGCAAAAGTAGATGTACAGTTGTTCCTCTGGAAAATACTACCATCATTAATAAACAATATGAGAATAATTTTGCCCAAACCGGTTTGGCTCAGTGGATAAAAAAAAAAAATATATATATATATATATATATATTTTTTTTTTTAAGAATAAACTCTATGTTTCTTATACTCCCAACCTTAAAACCTACTTTTGCACCATCCTGTATATAGAGATTAGCAGTTGTAAGAGTCCAAGGCTGATGAGCAGATTAGGGGATCAAACAGCAAAAGATGACTGGTTATAATAAGCTACTTATGTATTTCTCAGAACTGGGCAGCTCTTTCACAAGTTTAAGTCATTTATTCCTCACAAAACCCCAAAGAATAACCCCAAAGAGATTATTATCCACGTTTTATAGATGAGGGAACTCAGACACAGAAGTTACATAACTTGTCCACGGTCACTGACCAAGCTGCCGGGGAAAGCTGCCATTCGAACCCGGGCGGCCTGGCTGCCACGAAGAGGCCTTGACCCTCCACACTAGTTTGTCTGAGGAGAGACTTGCTCTAGAAGCAGAGGCGTTAGCTTTAATTGGACAATCTGCTATCCAAAGCTCCACCGCTGGCAAACAGTGCCTCTGTGTTGGACGGGCAGCTTCTAGAAGCTCAGACTTGGAGGTAGCTGAGGGAGAACAGCAAATGCTCTTCTGAGCTACAGCATAGACACAAGCAGCAGGCTAAATGTAGTTACTGCTTTCATTTAGACAACTTAGACTCCTAAATATGTAAAAACAAATTCTGAACACTTTAGAAATTATTTTTATTGATTTTTAGAGAGAGAGAAACATCCATTTGTTGTTCCACTTACT